GCACCTGTGCGAGATAATCTGTACCCTATTTAGTATTTTGGCTCTAACTTTTTCATCCGAACTCGGATTTAAGCGATTCAAAGTGCGTTGGAAAGCCGATGAGGAGTTCTATAAGCTCCAATATTTGAGGGTTTAGATTGTGAGTGATTGTAAACCCTAGTTGTATTCTCTCCTTCTATTAGTAGATCTCCACCCTCCTTGCCCCGTGGACGTAGGCAATTTACCGAACCACGTAAAAATTGGTTATATTGTGTGATTTGTAATAGCTTTTAGGTTCACTCGACGCGCAGTCGTAGAGCTGACGAGAGGAAGAGCTAATATCCCACTTTGATGAGATATTAGGCTTCATTGCTTCACATAGTTCGTCAACCCACTTTATGTGTTTGTTAACATCAATCAAGCTCCTGTGACTTGGATAATGATATTCATCGTCTTTTCTTAGCACTGAGCCGTTCGCGGAGACCTATAGGCAATTTTTGATGCCTACAATGGCGAGGGTCGGGTACCGTTGTACTTAGTCCATTTGGAGCACGGTTTACGGCTGCCCCTACACCCTTTCCTTAAGGAGGTGCACGCCGATCTAGGAGTCTCCCCTTCCCAATTCTATCCAAACGCAATGGGGGTTCTGGTGTCTTTCATCCTCATTTGCCACCGTGTTAGAGTCCAACCAAGCTTGATACTGCTTGGGCATTTGAAGCTTAAGTGACTTTGGATTTGATCAGAACCCATACTTAGGTTGAGGTTCTGTTTAGTGATCCAACTCTAGGCTTCTTGGCAGTCCAGAAGGTGGGGTTCGTCTGCGATGGCGGTCAGGAGGCGTCATCGTTTTTTTTTCAAGCAAGACAACCTACTCTTACGGCGTGTCTTTTCGTAGAGGGCTTTTGGAGGGTGCTGTAGATAGCTCTGCTATTTTAGCAGTTAGTGTACTTGGAAAACACTCCCCAGAAGGTTGTAGAGGCCTCCGAGGACTACGCATATGTTGGTTCCTCGTAGCCATAGACCAATCCTCTTTAGCTTGAATGATGCAACTCCTGACTTCATTTAGCTTGGATGATGCAATTTCGATGTTGTTCTTCAGGGTGGCGTAGAATCAGACCTTTGATTAGAACTCAGCATGGCTTCTCGAATAAGAAGAGTGGCCCCATGGTGAGTGCCAAACTATTAATGTTAAATATCACACAACCAATTAATCCAGAAGAGGATGGTTGTGGGGTGATAGATAATGATGGAGGGCCTGCTCCCTTCTTCGACTTTATGCTTAGTTCTTGAATAAGGATTTAATGTTCACACTACACAGACAAGAAGAACCCATGAGAGGGTGGGGACCGGTTCCCCCGTGATTCCTCCGATGGTCAAGTTAGTTAATGAACTTAAGCTTGAACGGAGTTTAGAACAGTATGTTCTTATGCTATGTGCATTAGAGATGATTATCTCTCAGGTCTAGATCAGGAGGAAGATTTAAAATGCTCCAAGAGTTTTTTCTTAGGTTAGATAAGGTTAGATCCTCCCCCTTCTCCTCCTTTTTTCTGAAGGTGAACAACCTCTATATATAGAAAGGATGTCCATGGCAGACTGGTTATTTCGGCTATAAAGAATGGCGACGACAAAGTGTGAGTTGGAAAGTGAGTCATCCCTCGCTCTACAGGTGTCGGCTGACGACTGGAGGGAAAGTTATTTCAGCATGGGAGATGGTGTCTCAGCGATGTCCGGGAAGTGACTTGTGAGTGTGGCAGAAGACACGTGGGCATACTGAGTCGTCCTTCACTTTACAGATATTGGCTGGCGGGGAGTTACTTCATTATGGAAGAGAGTGTCTCTGCATTTCCTGGGAAGTGATTGAATTAACGAGTCATGGAGATCTGTCGGGCCAAAATCTGGATAAGGCTTGTCCAAAGTGGACCGAGGTGTCAACATTTGCTCTGGGGGAGAGGCATGAGGCCGGGGTTGAGCCCTCAATTTAGTCGACATCAGGGAATGTCCCTTAAGTCGTTTCTGAGAAATGTTCATTGAGCGGTCGAGTGCCCTAAATAGGATCGTCCTCGATGATAGGGTCGACCGGTACCGCATTTCGTGTTGACTCAGGAATGTCGGCTTGTCTGACTGGTTGAAATATCTTTTTGCCTTAGCTAAGAACCGTCTTTCGAGTCAATATAAAGATGTCGACTCATCTGGGAGGTCAGGATCTCTCGTATCGACTCATATCGCCTTTCATATCGACACCAAAGTGTCGGCTTGATGAGTTGGTTGAGCCGATGACTCTATGATTATGCATTGGGTTTATTCCTGATAAGCTACCAAGGACTTGAAATTCGATTGAGGAGTCGAATGCCTAGAACTCTTGAGGGTTGACTAGGGCTCTTATTGTATTATTTTGTAAATATTGTTTCTTGGGTGAGTAAATACCATAACAGTAACATATTGCATTACTAAAATTCTTATTAAATATCACTAAACATAAAATTCACCTTATATCTATCTCAAATTTGTAGGGAAGATATGCATGTCATCGTACATTTTGTTAACAATATATATCAACCCAAATATATAACTTACTGAAGAAATTAGATAATGGTAATAAACTAAGCAAACATTCATATAACATAATAAAGAAGAGTATTATATTTTCAAGCTAATATGCATGATTCATTTAGAGCAAGCTACCAAGACAAAAGCATCTCTAGCAAGGCTCTTTACAAAGACAACACAATTCAAATTACTAATATCTGCAATCATGACAATATTCAAAAGAGATATGATCTTACAAGACCTACTCTATCATTCACACAATTAAGCCTAAAAATAGTTTACCAATATACAGACATGTTATTCCTCCTATGCTGCAAAGATAACTACTATTTATAATAGAGTTGAGCTGTCGTTCTATGCTTTTAAAGGTTGCAATAAGAAGATGGATATAAATATTAATAAGAGTATCCAAATAATAAATGTCATAAAATCATTGATGACGTAGTACTAAGCTTAAGTAATATCTCTTCTTCATGAAATAAACATATCAAAATTAAATATTAACAATATAATCTAAGGCAAATTGATAATAAAAAAATATAGTTATTTAATTCAGATCCTCATGAAAAATGACACAAACAGAGTAAAGCTAATATTATTTTATGCAACAGAAATTTTTATTGGATGCGCACCAGAAAAATTCATTATAGAGAGAAAAAAAGGTAACTCCACTCCTTATTTAATTAATAAATTAGAGACACAAGATTTTTATATATATGAAATTAATATTTATTCTTATTAAAATAGAAAATAATCAAAATATACATTTTCTAGAATTTTGTGTTGAATGTCGAAAATACATTCAACTTCTTTGTGAAGTAAGATGAAAACTTAAAAAATAAACGAGCCTAGGAAAAGATAACAACACAAGAAATTCTGGTCCATCATGCCATCACAATCGATGTAGATGATGAAGACACTACTCTAGAATTAGTCAGAAAAAGATAAAGATAGACAATGATTGATATTGACTCAATAAAAAAAACAAAATGAATAAAATATCTGTTTTCTAAATATTTTATAGAATAGTTTAATTTTTCGAGTAAAATTATGAATCTTTAGAAGAGATTTTCATGAACTTTTTTTAAATACTTTTATATGCTTATGTGGTGCTTTATTATATAAAATTGCATGTACTAGAGTTAGTATTAATTTTTAAGTTATGATTCTTTCTAAAGTCTACCAATGATTATATACAAATTTCATATTCTCTTTAGTTTAGTTCTAGCACACTTTTAATCAATCATCTTGGATTATTTGCTTTAATTATTTATTTTCTTTTCTGATGCTATTTTTTCAAGTGTTTTTTTACTTTCGCAACACTATACTTTTTGAAGTCAAGCTTAGTTTCATGTTAGTCTAAATAACGTCAAAATTCAAATTAGCTTTGGATTACATTTATTTTCAGTCTATTCAATTATCAACATAAAAATTTAAATTTGGTGTAGCCTATTCAAATGAATATCAAAGAAAATAAATAATCATAATGCTAAAATTTTAGAGATATCAGTTAGCAAAAACTATCAAAGTGAAAGCGAGAAACAAATTTTAGGAAGGAAATAAATAAAAAATACTTAATAACAATATTTAACCACATGTGAGTAGTTAGAAATCAAGGTGCAGATAGAAGATGACAGCACGTTGGTAATCAGCTGAGAGAGGAAGAGAGAAGGGGGTGAGGAGGAGGAGAAGTATTTGAGGATATCGATGGAGAGGAGGATGGCCGGGGAAGTTCATGAGGAGGTTCTTGTTGCCGGAGAAAGCGGATCTTGATAAGGTTACGGCGGAGTGCAAGGACGAAGAAGCCGCCGCCGGAGCTGAAGAAGCCCAAGACTGTGCAAGTCCGATTTAAATATGTTTAGTTTTAGTTTTTGTTATGGGTATTAGTAGTAATATGCTTAGGTTAATTGCTGCTGATATACGCTCTGTTTTTGGTCCTTGAAGGGGAGATCAGTACGTACGTGATGTTAACACCGTCATGTTGTGCCTAGCTACTTGTGTGAATAGAATGCGTAGTTTTTTTTTTTTTTACGTATACTTTTTTTGTTGTCGTTTTTGTGACAAACTCCTGCAAATTTTGTAGGCCATGATATTCTTCTGATCATACGTTTCTTCACACAGTTACGGTTACCCAGAGTGTAATTTGCGGTTAACTCCCTCACAGAGGTTTGTGAGAAATGTTGAAAGTTTGAGGTTTTCTGAAGGAAAAAAAAAACCCCAAAACTGCCCCGACGGTTCCAACCGTTGGGGCTAGTATTTTCACATAGCGGGAGTTTCCCCCCGTTTTTTACCAAAAAAAAAAAAAGAAAAAACCCACAAATTATAAGATCGCTCAGCTCTTCTCTGTGTTCCCCCTCCTCATAAAAAAAAAATCTCTGTCGCCGCTCGAAGATCGCCGCCACCGCCGCTCGAAGATCGTCGT